AACGAAACATGGGTGTACTTTTTATGGCCAAAAAGGAAGATTATGAATAAAATGTGGAATCAAAGAGAAAGCTGTCGTCCTATTATTGCAAAGTGAAGGAAGGACTCCAAATATGTTTTATTAATTTTTTTTATTCAAGATGTCCGGTAAAACATGTACATACAGCCAAAGGAAGGACTATCAATGGTAACTATTATGTTAAAATTTCACACAGGAAAGTTAAGCAGATTTCCTGCAAAGCAAGTCCAAATACCGGTCCCTAGAGTATTTTTGCTGTATTTGACAACGCTGCTGTAAATAAGCATAGAAAAATAAAGAAAATTTTTAAGAAAGGAAAGTTTACAGAGCTTAGCTATCCCCCATATTCGCTAGATATCAGCCATTGTGAGATATTTTTCTTCCAAAAAATCAGGAAAGCAATCAAAGGAAGATTTTACAATTTCAGGTATACCATGGAAAGTGCTATTCATCAGTGTCCCTAGGGCATCCCTAAAGATGATTATGCTGAGGTTTTCTGGTCATGGGTACAAAAGCTTTAGACGTGTAAATGTTCACAGGGAATGCTTTGAGAGATTTAAAGTATTATGAATTTGCTTTACGTGCTTTTCCTATTTTTAGATGACCTTTTGCATTATTTATTGAACGGCCCTCGAATTAACTAGTTCAGACTGAGTGTCGCATCAAGAATCGAACATTATGAAAAAAAAAATCATGGAAAGTTTATTCTAAAAATAGAATTCTATTGTACAATGAAAACTATGCATTTTTTGCCTCCTCTTTCAGACTAGCATGCACTAGTTCTAAGAAATAACAAATTGTATCATGATTAAAACATTAATCTGGATCTTATCTATCACCAAAAACTTAAGTGGTAATATATATATATATATATATATATATATATATATATATATATATATATATATATATATATATATATATATATATATATATATATATATATATATATATATATAAGATACTACCTGATCAGTTAAATAACAATGATGGATGAGTGAATGCAGGGCATGAAAGATACTACCTGATCAGTTAAATATCAATGATGGATGAGTGAATGCAGGGCATGAATGAAAAGGGAACTCGAGCGCAATTTTAATGGGGAGCGATAACTTATTGTGATCAATACTTTCAGATAACGAAAAGTATATGTCTCAAATATACGTTATTATTACATTTTACTTATTCTTTGAATAGGCAGCCAATGTGAAAAAAAAAATGAAGCAAAATAATTTATTATGAATTTTATTATGAATACTTTCTGAAGAAAAAAAAAAACAGATTCATACAATGCTGTGCGACCGATGATGCATGTACATCTTTTTTTTTCACGTACATTTTCGTATATATGCATATTTTTTTCTTTTATAACATATATCTTTACATTCATATTTTTTGGGTGAAGAAAAGCACTTGCGTTAAATCATACATTAATTAGTGATTAGAAATAATAATTAAAACAACCCCAATGGTTTATGGATAATTCATGAAATTGTTTATCATAGATAACGATAATTAAATGTCTCCATAAAAATCCTTACAAACAAAGATACATAGTGGGTTGCAGTAAATGTTCTACCAAGCCTCTTTCTTTACTCCTCACTAAAATATTTACAGCAGTGAAGGGGAAACTTCAGGAGTACTGTGCAACAGTATATTCAAGCAGTGATGAAAATCAGATGTGGATCTCCAAGGAACTTTTCGAAAAATTTGAAATCACGAAATTTTAAGAAAATCAATAACTTCAAAACGTACAGCTTTTCAACACTTTGTACAACCATTCCTCACGATAAATTAAAGCTCAGGCTTTTTGACATCATAGATAGCTGCTTTGTCAATAAAAATGTAACTCGTAAATATACTTACCTTTTCATTGGTCATTTGCAAAAGTATTTTGTTAAAACATTCTGATTGTAAACACAAGTACTCTGAAGTTGATGTTAAAAATATGTTTGCGTTTTTGATTGACAGTATCTATGTAGTTTTTGGAGATCATGGCCAACAATCTGTTGGAATTCCCATGGGTACCAATTGCACCTCTTATAAGCAGACCTATTTTTCAATTCTGAAGAAAACACACTCTGTGGCCTTCATCTCGACATTTACCGGTAGATAAATTGACCACGTATTATCAATTAACAGTAGTTACTTCCATTTATATTTCGACTCGATATATCACAGTGAGGTTGAAATAAAACACAGTCATATTTCGTATTTGGATTTTTTTCTATAATGATAACTTAACAACAAATCTTTATGATAAATGTGATGACTTCAATTTTTCAATCGTCAACTCCCCTTACTTTTGTAGCAATAAACCTTTATTACCTGTTTATGGGGTTTCTGACTCCAAGTTGATTCGATACGCAAGAACATGTGCATGATAGCATTTGAAGAATGTTCTGAAAGAGACTTTGTATAATTTAATATTCTTTTCTTTGCACGTTTAGGTTGTATACAGTTGCCCTACGTATTGACAATTTCTAAAACGAGACAAGCTATTGAAAAACAAGTTGATGAAACAAGGAAATCAACAGTCTCGCTTGATCTCTTCATTCTGCAAGTTTTATGGTCGAATCAATGACCTAGACAGCAAATACTGCTTTTCATTAAGTCAAATGCTAACTGACTTTTTTGATACTTATTGTTAGGTCACTATTTACACGCTGAGTTGTGTACGGCGGGTGTGACCGGTCGGCAGGGGATGCTCACTCCCCCATGACTTTAATGTTTTTGGAGGTCCATGTTTGCTCTCCCATTTGTATTGTATAAATGGACTATGAGCTTGAATATTGTTCGTTTTATATATATATATATATATATATATATATATATATATATATATATATATATATATATATATATATATATATATATATATATATATATATATATATATATATAATATAATATAATATACGCTTAATTGTGGCACCTGACATTCCCTGCTGACTTCCTTGCTGACTAAATAAAATAAAAGATAAAATACAGTATACATATAGTTTAACATTCTACGTTACTCTTATTCCAATAATCGATAAGTTTTAATACACATCTAAGAACACATTCAAAAGTTGATGTATTTTCATTTTAATCAAGAATATAACTTATGTAGAGTCTAATTTCTAGCAAATTGATTTCAAATAATACTGGCCCAAAAAACTTTGGTCACTACACACCTTTTAGGAATACTAAACTTTAAAAAATATTGAGTTTTTTTCTTTTCTGACATTTCCAAGCAGAAGTACTCATTTTAGCCGTTTGACTTAGTCCCACAGTTTTAAAGTTTGAAGTTGCCAAAGACTTCTTTCAAAGGTTCATCTTACTGTAGTTAATGGTTTCAAAGGTGTAGCAACACCATACTTTCCAAGGAAATATACATGTAATACTAAATTGAAGGTCCAGGTTCTCGGTCATTACATTTTAATTTTCAGTGTTCATGCATAATCTTATTGCTACAAACCAGCTGACTTAGTTTTTGGCAGAAACACTCAAGACATTTCCATAGTTTAGGTCCTTTCAGTACTGATGTTCTAGAGTAGGATTTCCCACATAGTCAGTTTTCCCACCAGATTTGAATCTTTAAACCAAACCTGTACTCTACAGTAGGATCCCCCCGAGGGGAAATCTCACATTAAAGTCAAATTTCCCCTTTTTCTTTCTCAGAGTAGGATTTCCCCTCTCTTATCAATGTTTAAATCATATCGAAAATATTTTGGCTAAAAGTTTTTACGAAAGTTAACTGTTTTTTTTTTAATGGAAATATGAGTGTTTTCTACTCCAGAATTATCAAATCTAGTATGAAATCTTAAATCATTGAGTCTCAACCAAGAATTTTAACTCATATAGGAAATTGTAAAAATTAGTCACTCAAAAATCGGGGTTAAAAGCCAAAACTAACAATAAAAACACTGCTTTTGCAAGCCGAAGCATAAGCATGTCTCCATGACCCCCAGCGGTGTTATATTGGATTTGAAAGCAGATAGCAAAAACTCACTTAAAATTTTGCAAAATTTCAAATTTTGAGAAATACATGTAAATAACTTATTTTTAGTTCCATGGCATCTGCACTTATTTTGGATATTTAAACACCAGAAACTAAGAGAGACTTACATATCAATAATATGTAAATATAGTTTGAAATACAATTGCAGAAAAAATCCATTGAAAGTAATATTCCTTTTTGTTTCCATGGACATAGTTAAAATTTTGTCCAACCGATTACATTGTACCAATTTTTTTTCCAGAAACCAGTTTGACCAGATGAAAAGAATAAGATTTTAATGTATTAAAAGAATGGTTGGACAATTACTGAGAAAAATGAGATTCAAAATTTCATTTTTTCATACTTTGTATGTTTCAATGGAACTGGTCACCATTTGAAGAAGGGGCATTGTAACAATGTGTCGCCCCCTCCCCCTCATACATAAGTACCACCATGATATTTATTGGGGGGATTGGCTCGGGGGGTATCGCAATCTATAACTACAACGCAGAGTGGGATTCCCCCCCCCCCCGGAAAATTGAATCTGATGTGGGATTTCCGTGGGGGGAAAATCCTACTCTATCTAGTCAATTTTTCGTGGGGGGAAATCTTACTCTAGAGCCTATTTTCCGTGGGGAAATCCCACTCTAGAGCCAGTTTTCCGGGGGAAATGATTTTATGGAGGAAAGCCTACTCTATAAGACCGGTACCTAACTACATATTTACACGTATTATATACGTTATTCTGCAAATGTCAATTGACCTAAGATACTTCATTTAAAAACAAAATTTTCAGTGAAAATGCCTAATTCTTGCACGGGTTCCTTCTAACAAAATATATATATATATGGTTTTTTTGGGGGGTGGTGTCATAAAAACATAAAAACAGGACTTTTAACTAAAAAATCTAAATGAAGGAAACGTTTTTGATGTTCCAAGTCAGATTTTGACACTCTTGGTAATTTTTTTCGTAACATTTTTTGTGCTTCTTAAGGAGGTTACGTGGAGGATATATCCATTATCGGGGCCGGTATTGGCGGTACCTACACAGGATGGAGGTTAAGAAACAAAGGCCTCCGGATTGGAATTTACGAATACTCTAATCGTGTCGGAGGCAGGATGTATACGAGAACTTTTCCAGATGCCCCTGATCTTCCCATTGAGTTTGGCGCAATGCGGCTGATACCTGCTCGCCACTTGAGGATGATAAAAGCCGGGAGAGAATTAGGATTAAGATTCGTACATTTTGTTGAGGAATTTGGGCGCATTCCCGAACGCACCCGCCTTTATCTACGAAACAGCCACCTGTCAATCCCCGAGCTAGGGACTTCAAGAACCCCCTATAAACTCAGGCCAGCGGAGAGAAGAAATCCTACTGACCTACAAAGGTAAGAATTTTATGATTAAAATTTTGTTATTTTGCTTTTTTTTAAAAAAAGAAAAGAAGACATTCCAAGTGATAAAGTGATTTTAATAGATGTTTTTTTCTACGCAAAGTATTGATTTAAGAGGTTTTGATTGCACTTTAATGCTAGTAGAATTTGTTTTCATTAGTATTAATAATATGTTGAACAACATTAATGATGAGCTGAATTGTTGACTTCTAATTTTTTTTCCACACTGGATTGAAAAATAGATGATCATATGGAAACATAAAAAGAGACATTCAAATGGATGAAAGTGACAGTTGTAATTCATAATTGTAAAACATTTAAAATGAATTAAATTGCGGATTCTTCATCTCTCTAAAAGATGTTTGGACATATTCAAACATTAAGAAGATAAAATCAATGCATGCTTTTCAAAAAATACATTTTAGGTCATTATCAGAAAGGTTTACAAACTACAACGGCTCTGATCCAAATACAGAACGTTTCACTGCCGTCACTCTTAGAGATGGGATACCTTTATATTTCCAGAGGTTTGTCACGTTGTATTTATTCTATTTTTATTTTTAAAAAATCAAAAATAAAAAAAAAATGATTTTATTGAAAGATAAAATAATTACCCCCCCCCCCCCATTGATATTGTATTAGCCCAATTAATGTTTCATGATATTACACTATTTTTTTTTCTGTTTTCTTAAGGACAAAGGATACAAAAAATATTAAAGGAAATTGTAAAAAGCTTGTACAAGATTTATTAGTCGCCCGCGTGCCACAGCGGTTAGAGCGTTTGCTCTAGAGTCGCAGTGTAAGGAGTTGATCCTTACGTCACGGGTTCGAATCCACTGCGGGACGTGGAGACCGGTCCTTTGGATGATACCGTATAAACTGAGGTCCCGTGTCGCAGTAGGTGTTGGCAAGAGAAAGATTCCTCACTGCTCAATGGCCTTAAGTGCCGAGTATAGGCCCTCCACTGGCAAGTGGTGGCTTCACTATATGAGTGAAAAATTCGAGAGGGACGTTAAACAACAAACAAACAAATTAAACAAGTTTTATTAATGCTAAAACACATAATTGTCATCAAGTTTCCCTATCAAACCAGCCTCATTTTTCATACTCCCCAAATCACAACATTGATATCGACACTGTATGCAAATCATGAATGTACAAAACTTCGCAAATATGAATATTAATTTACTACAATCTTACCGTAAACAAATTGAAGTTTATTGAAAAAATATATAGAAACTAAGATACCCCCATTGTCCGAAGATTTTGGGTATCTCTTGACCTTAAAACCTCTTTTTATGCGTCAAATGAAGTGCGTTAGGGAAAAAATCATTTTAATTGGTAATACCGTCGTAAACATGTGATTGTTTCTGAAATTTATTACCTCTCTACTTCAAATTTAAATGTCATTTGTACGGAAGCGTATTAGGACCGCAGCAGTATCTTTTATTAATTTGTTATAACAAATTAGTAATCTGTTATAACAAATTGCTAATCTGTTATAACAAATTACTAAACTGTTATAACAAATTAGTAATCTGTTTTAACAAATTGATAATTTGTTATAACAAATTGATAATTTGTTATAACAAATTAATAATTTGTTATAACAAATTAATAATTTGTTATAACAAATTAGTAATTTTTTAAAACAAATTAATAAAAGATACTGCTGCGGCCCTAATACGATTCCGTACATTTGTCCTATTTGTAGCGAACATGACACACTTCGTTTTTATTTTTTTTAAAATTTTTTTTGGCTGTTGGAAAGATAATGACAGATTATGGTTCTTCTTTGTAAAGTGTACATTATTAAACATGTCATGCATCTACTTCCTAGTATTTGCATGCCCATAGAATTTATATGAAAATAAACTTTAAAAAGGCTAAGAAGCAATGTGTCTGTAATGAAGTGTACTCATTTGACCACGAAATTTCTATCAGTACTAGTATTTCATAATAAATCACATTAAAAATGCTGAAATTGGAATATTTATAGAATAAATAAAAATATTGAAATTCCGAATCGCTATATTATATAAAAAGGCATGAAATTCCTAATCGCTATATAAAAAAGCATGATATTGTAAATCAATTTGTCAAACATTGTTATTCCGATACATTACTTCATATCAACCCCACTGAATATTTCTTCTTTATTCAGCTTCCCTTAATCAATCCATTAGATTTAAACTAGTGAGAACAGGTTTTTCAAGACCACCTGTATGAGAGTTTACCATTATTAAAGCATATCATGACGTATAGATAAGTATTGACATTTTAAAGTACTTAACACTACTTTAAACGATTTTATACTGACATAAATATACACAATAAAATGTCTCTTTTGAAATAACATAGTGGATATCTACAGTGTACGGTATGTCAATTGTTTGAGAAGGCTTATGCGTCAGAACGGGGGGCGGGGGGGGGGCTGGGGCGGACTTAGCCCCCCCCACCACTTTTTTTTGCATACCTATAATATAGGCATTGAAAATTGGGGCTTACTTTTTTGTTGGTTTTGTTCAATTACCCCCCCCCCCCCCCACTTTCAATTTGCTTCCGTCGCCTATGGAAGGAAATCGTATACAATATTCAATTCTGAAATTATTACATTATCGGGAAATGAATGACAGTTTTCCTCCTTATTTACGTAAGAGTTACATTAAGAACTAAGAAGTCATATACCCAATATGCATTAATCCATTTGGAAATACACAAATCTGACCATATAAACAATTTAAGAAAAAAACCCCCATAAGTTGCATGCTCTCTTACCTGGAAAAAATAATGCTGCGTAGAACTAAGAAGAATATAGGTTTACAGGTAAAGAACATTGAACGTCAGGCTTGGTGCGAACTACATTGTAAAGTAATGCATTACATAAACATTACTTCAAGAATTTGGGCATGAAATAAACAATACCATTACTTTAGCTTCTTAAGTAATGCATTACATTACCATTACATTACCATTACTTTGGCAAAGTAATGCATTACCATTACTTTTGGAGGTTTTCACAAATAAAAATACAAAACTTAGCAACCATTTTCATAAACACCCATTCAAAAGTAAACATGATGAATAATAATTCAAATTTTATTTCAAGTACTTGTATATATTACACAGTAAATAATTTACATATATATATTTATTATTCATAGGAGGCTCGAACTTTTCAATTGCCAATAAGATAAAAACACGTACATGTACATGTATAATATGCACTTTTTGTGTAACTATTAATGTCATAAATCAATTTAATTTTTGGGGCATGCAATTTACTCCCTCCCAAATACTAAAAATAATCTTAATAAGACATATAAAGATTATTTGGATCTAGTACCTTAAATTATTACAAGAATTAAATACATTGACAAACTTGCAAAAAGGGTTGGACAGTACATTTTGCTATTTTAAAAGTAGAATGCTTGTCTTCTATTCCTTTTGGTGAATGAATTTGTCATGATTAATAACTAGACCAGGTCAATAAATGTTTCATAAACGTAGTCAGAAGAAAAAGACTTGATTTTTGGAATTTTTCTCAAAACAATACATTGTTTTAATTATTACATAACCTTAGAGGCATTGTGTATTTAACTTTTGATGACACTCTATTTAAGAGGTGACAATTATCTGTTTACATTGTACATTAATTATTGTGCCTCATACTGGAATTATTTTTAAAGGATATTTTTAAAAAAACTCTTTAAAATATTCTTTGAAATTAAATCTGATCTTAAATAAGTATGAAAATTCAAATGTGTGGAAATTGTACTTTCAACAGAATAAAAAAATGTATGTAAATAGATATAGAGAGTTTATTTAGATAGGTTAGTTTTCTCATTCATTTCTATTATTTAAGAAAAAAATTAATTCCAATTATTTCCATGTCCATTTTCAATTTTTTAAAATAGGTATATACAAAATAATGCTTTGTAATGCTATGTAATGCCAGCATTACTCTGGATTTGAGAAGGTAATGCATTACATTACCATTACATGTAATGCAATTTTTTTGGCATTACACATTACTAGCATTACTTCGAGTTGAAGTAACGCATTGCAATGCTTTACCATTACATTTAGCATTCCCCCAAGCCTGCTGAACATCATGTCTGTTGAGCACAATTTATTTTAAAAAAATGTCATAATACTTCTAACCTACACATTATAAAATTATTTACAGCTACAAAGAAGTCTTGCGAAAAACTGGAATAAGCAATGAGGCATACAATTATATATTTGACAACAGTTTGTTCAAATTTGGTCTTGGTGATGATGATCAAAGCATTATACGATTTCCCAGAACACGAAGAGGATTCGAAGAGAACACTATTTCCACTGGATTACCAAGGGTCGTCTCTGTTCCTACAGGAATGGGTTCATATCCCACAGGATTTCTGAGGCAATACCTATCACGGAACCCCAGAAGGTATCTATAAAGTTGAAGTTTTGTAGAAAATGGATTGTTCATGCATAGAAAAAAAAATGAAAAAAATCCCGTTTTATACTCTATGAAGATGGTTGGATCATCTACATTTCATGAAATATCGGTATGTGTTCTTAGTAATGTAGCTGAATTGCATAATAAACAGAAGTCTATGACAAGATTTGACTATTACACGATGTTAAAGTCCATTCAAATGAAGTGTTAGTGGGAAAGATGATCAAATCACCGAAGAGTCTACAGAATGTACCTTTTTCAATGCCCCCCCCCCCCCCAAAAAAAAGCCCATCCGAACAGAAGCAATTTCAACATCTAAATAAAACTACATTTATCAGACTATAAAAGGAAGCTGATATTGTCATCTATAGGTTGGATTTGATGTTCTATTTGACAAAAAAGAAGTAAAACAACATTTAAATGAAACTTTTTACACTACATGAGATAAAGAGTTTTTTTTACTGCAATAAGCTATTTGTTAAATGTAACATACTAATGAAAATATTGATTTCTTTAACCAGAGGATTTAAATAAAATAAATCTCAAACTAGATATCTAAATCTTTTTTCTTTTACTTAAACTGATCTTCAGTTCATTAATTGTTCAACACATTCTTGTTACAGGCACAGGTATCATCCAAACCGTCAACTTATAAAAATTTCAAAAATTAAAAGAGGACTCTACCGATTGAGATTTAGAAGAACAAGAACTATCAATGGCAGAACTATTCCTACGATGAAATACTTCGACATTTTCACACGTAATGTAATACTAGCCTTACCAAAGATAGCCATACAGCGGATTCAGATGCCAAACTCAAACAATCCCGTTTTCCAATCGGCACTCAATTCGGTGATTGATGTTCAAGCATCGAGAATATTCCTTATATACGATTATCCTTGGTGGCTTAATGAACGCTTCAATTTCACGTTTACCCAGGCAGATCTACCATACAGGCAATCTTTCCATTGGGGGATATCTCGTACTGGTAAGGCAGTTTTACTCATGTCTTATGCGGATTCCGATGATGCTGTGTTCTGGAGTCATCTTCAACGGAGAGGAAATGTCATTAGCAAAATGAATGATGATACTCGAGTAACGGATGAGGTTATAAGGCACGCACATATTCAGATGTCCAAAGTTTACAAGATAAACTTCAAACATATTCCTGCTCCTGTAGATGCTATGATGTTTGTTTGGGATAAGTATCCCTATAATGGAGCATGGGTATCTTGGAAACCCGGATCAAGATGGTACGACATCAAAAACTATCTGACAGCACCATTTCCTCAAGACAATATATTTATTGTCCATGGTTACTGGGGAGCGGAACATAACGGCTGGGGGGAGAGTTCGTTGGATGCTGCTGATGATGTGTTAACCTACTTTGGTCTTCCATCTTATTTGTCCTTGTAGACAAGTAGAATAAATAAAAAAGAATACACTGCATTTTAATGTTTAAAGCTATAAGTAACACTTTAGAAGCTTATAGTTAGTGAGGATACATTTAACATGCAAACACAATTTCTCACGAATGCTTCAGTCGAAAATGGGTTAACACGGTAGAAAATAAAGTTCCTAACACTTTACCTTCTGTCATGACAAACTGTTACTGATTACAGCTGATTATCATTACTGATTACGAAAAGTAGTGTACGTTGATACAGAAGTAAAATGTAAGGAACTTTATTACATTTTCAACGGTGAAATACTGCGATTTATTTATTGAATAAAACTTATATTCTGTCACAGTGTGAACGGATATCAAAGTGATATTCAATGTGAGAGAATATCAGACGTGCGGAAAAACTCTCAATTTTCTTTCCATTCAATAAGAGTGTTAAAAAATATTCTCTGGCCTTTCATAAGATAAAGATAGTAACTAAACCATTCTTCCCAAATATGTTGCTAAAATTCGCGTTTACAATCCCAAAATTGCTAAGCTATGACGTCTCAAACGCTCAACTATGACGTCCTTGACACTGTAACGAAAAGACAGCGGCAAAGGGAAAATCAATGAAAATGTAATAAGCAGAAAATTCAATGTTTTGTAGTTGGATATGCTATTTATTTCACTCGTGAGACAAGATTTTTTTTTATATTTTTACTCGTGCTTCGCACTCTTCCCACTTGTGATATAAAATCCATATCCAACTACAAAACATTGAATATCATCTATGCGTGTTTACGCATTTTTGATTAAACATTCGTGAGAAAACTGACAGAGAATAAAACTACCAAAGTTTCTTCAAATATTTTGTTTTAATCCACAACAATTTTTGCTTTTTACAATTTTTTACTTTTACATTTTTTTTCAATCTAACAATCGCTAAGCTATGAGGTCTCAACCGCTCAGCTATGACGTCACAGCCTATGATGCCGTGTTACAAAAAGACAGAGGCAAAGGAAAAATCAAATATAGTAAATAGAAAAATTCAATGTGTTGTAGTTGAAACAGGGTTTTTTCCTCATATTTTCTCGAGTGCGAAGCACTCGTGAATATATATATATATATATATATATATATATATATATATATATATATATATATATATATATATATATATATATATATATATATATATATATATATATATATATAAATTTCCTGTCCCACTTGTGAAATAAATTTCATATCCAACTACAATGGAAACACGGAGAAATTTATTTGACAGAAAAAGCCGGAGATCAGTCAAAAAAGGCTACCATCTTTGCACACCTTTAACCAAACCACCGAAACTTCACCTTTCAAATGCTAATGATTATTAAGATTTTAAGAAAAAGTGTATGAATGAGCATTGATTCAGAATAAAATTTTCAAGGCCTCTCAAAATTCATTGTTTCAACCCCCCCCCCCCAAAAAAAAAACAAAACAAAAACAAAAACAAACTCAAACCTACTTTAAACCTTAAATAGCCTTTCTTTTCAAAATGAATGTAATCTAAAGTAATCACAGGTAATCATAATTGTTTTCACGTTTTTGTTATCACTCTGCCAATTTGACGAATATTCGTTCTCGTTTATTCCATAAAAATCAATTTTATAAAGATTGCATTGCATCCACATCCAAATCTGAACTGATTTGAATTGTAATAAATCACAATTTTCCCCTAATTTGTAAATTAACATCGGTGAAAAGTCTATAATTGTTTTTACATTTAAGGTTCATGGATCAATTAATGTGCATGAAAATTGAAAGATGATTTTTAGATGAAATGCTGAATATGTACAACAAATTCTTCTTATATTTTATCATACATATTATATTATAAATTATTCCTTATATTGTGGCATATTTATATTCTACACAATAGTCCAGAAATCTCAAGTTAACAAACAATAGCTTAACACATATCAAAATAACTGAGAACATTAACTAAAGGAATAAATCTTGTTAATACATGTAAGAGAAAAACTCTGTTAATTATTAATTAAAGATAGGGTTATCATGCAATAATGAGAAACAATCATGTCATTACGAGAAGAGAGCGTTGATAAAGGATAAGAATATTTACATTTCCATGTACATTTTCAAATTTCTTTTTCCCACGAAAAAATACAAATTAGGATTTCATAAAGCCATTTGATCATCATGTGGCAGAACTGTCTTATCGTTTGCGTGGCTAAGTAATACACAGGGCGGGACTTGCTTTCTAATCATTGAATCAAAATAATGTAGAGTACAGTGAACGCGGTTTATGCATTTACCGCGCATCCCCGCGGTGTGATTCTCATCGCGGTTAGTCTCAGGTAAAAACCGCGTGCCCCCGCGGTTCGGCCATCCAGATAATTCACACCTCCGCGGTGCAGCCTACCGATCATAGGTAAAAAACAGTCTTGGTCTAAAACGCGAGTTATCTCCCTTCGAAATTATAAACCAAACAAAATAAAACGAAACCAAACAGAAAGAAAGAAAAATAAAAAAAAAATGCAACAGTTATGATATTAAAAATATAGAAGCTGAAATATTAGAATATTTTAGGTACAAAATGAAAATAAATTTTCTAATTAAAATATATTCTCGTGTATCCAAGATAATTTTTAAAACTTTTATTGCAATTTTCAAATAGCGGTATATATAAGCCTTGAACAAACAATGTGTTCATTCTATTAGAAGCGACGACATTCGATATAAATTACTGTAGGTGATATAGTTTTACGACTATGCAAGGTAATATACCCAATATGCTATCCATGACATTCGATATTAATTAATACTTTCGTAGTGTGTTTTGTAAATTTAAGATATGTTTTTTAGGTGATTTGATTAAAGAATGCATCTATCGCAGTTTCAATTTTATTGGAAAGGGGGGAGGGCTATGAATAATTTTTTTTTTAATTATTAAAATTCCAATATAAGATTAAAATAAGCAGAAGATTTTGGTTGTAATTACATGTATCATTCTCTTGAGTCGCCTGTGAAACGTCATTCCTATCTAAATGTATTCCGGGCGTAGTTCTTAAAATCAGTTGGAATGGGATATTGCGTGTGCGTAATTTGATGACCTTTCAGTCCGTAGAAGATATGTAAAATTATGTAATGTCTAGAGCTGGACCTGGTACTCATACTTGGTCCTTACACCTGTATACTGTACAAGGCGCGATCCCCTACACCAGCCCTACACCATGTACACGCGCGTGCCCGAAAGCAGATCAGTAAAACTGTCGTATAACATCCTTCACATTTACATCGATCATTTTCAAACAATTGCTCGTTATTATCATTGATGTGTTTTGGTTTCAAAAATTAATTTTAAAAAATATATGAATTATATCTGCTAAAATCAACATCACAAATGAAATGGTTCGGTTTTGTATAAATTCACAAGCACATTGTTGTTGGATCGACAACATTACAAATTTCATGATATTGTGCTTTATCCCGTACTTTACCAGTATTAGTATTACCAGTATTATGGCCAAAATAATCTAGGTAAACGGAATTTAATTAAATAAATACATTTTTTTTTTCAATATGACCAAAGTGACTCCGTTGGACACTCATAATCAGATAATGTTGAAGCACCGGAATATATACAAGAAATTGTTCCTAAGACAAAAAAAAAAAGAAAAAAAGAAAAAAGAAAACATCAAACTATAGAATTTTACACATAGTTGTAATTAATTTTTAAAATTTACGATATGCAGATGACTTGCAATTAAAAAGTTAATTTCGATGTAACTTCCATCTCCAGAAATAACACCCCCACCCAATTTATGGTGACACTATTAATTTGTCTTACACAAAACTTTCACTCTTTCGGTACCGCCACAACTTTGGATAAAAGTTTTCTTCCCAATACCGATAGTTATAAGCCAAACTGACTGTGAAAATATTGTATTAATGTATGTAATTTCAACCCCCCTAAAAGGGAGAGGGGAAAGCAAAGTTTATTCATGCGAATGCATATAAAGTAAAATCTACTAGAACAAAATGCTTGTACACCATGTAAGCAAGAATTTACTGAAAAGCAACTCAAAAAGTTCCACCAAAACAATATGGGATCTGTGTGCTGTAAGCATTGGTTAGTAAACCTATTTTGTCCTCGGTAGATCTGGTACATGTATACACAGTGTACATGTAGCTGCATGGACTAATCTTGGTCTCCTTAGTAACTGTGTATTGTGCGCGTTCAAGCGGAGAGGGATTTCCTGTCACTGTGTTGGATATAATTTCACACCTTTGTGAAAGACAAACGCTTTGGATTAAGTCTATTTTATTTTTGCAACATATTGACAGTTGTTAAATATAAAATCATAGACCGGGAGGATTACATGTATGATTCCGACCGACCTCCCCCGCCCCTGAATCCTTCCATGCCGTCTGAACGTCATATTATTTTTTTTTAAACATAAGGTTGTATGTTTTGATAAAATTACAGTCGCATTCACATCACAAATGTCTGATTTTAATAAATTTGAATGAATTTCTCTATATTTGCTTGGTCATCTATAAAAACAAAATGTTGGGATGTTAACGCTAAGGGCTATCCTTTACCTCCAAAATTATGGCAAGCTATTTTATTGTATAGTTAATTCCATACGATGACAAGGTACCCGAGGCTTTAGAGGTGTGAATGCCTCTAGGGTAGAAATAATACTAATTCTTAAAGGCAGAAATTTTAAGCACCGCCTTCAAAAATACCTGGTCTGTGTACCCCTGTCAATCAAGTGCATAAAGGTACATCATTGGATGCTAGAACTTGATTGGCATTTACTTACTAGTCCCTGTGTATACCCTGTACACCTTGTTTGGCACTTGTGGTGACCTTCAAATTAACTTTTGATCCTTTGATATTTACCACACATGGTATAAACAATAGAGAAGATGTATTACTTTGGAATTTTTAGCTTGATAATATATATTCATACACACCTTTAGTATTTGAAATAATTATGATATTCTTTATGATAAT